TCCCTATTGTTTCTGTGACCAGTAGAAGTCCCTCACTGAAAAAGCTGTAACTCCAGCATACCGCACTACAGCATCTTTCCTGCTTCCTTGTACACAGGCCTTCAAGCTTTTGTACATGAAATTTAATACACAAGCCAAGCTCTTCTGCTGTGTTCTATGTGAGCGGGATTCCTCTAGAAAGAAAAAAATACCTTTGCTTGGAATGGGAGAGAGGCTGCCAATGTGGCTTTGAGGTTAGCAGCCTTATGTTTCATCCAAGCAGTAAGGCCTGAGATACCAATTCCTTTTTCTGACCTCTCTCTGCAGGTGTCCAGATCCACGAACGGACAAGTGTCAGCCATGTCATGGTCCAAAAGGGTTGTGTGACTGGCGTGGAGACTGACAGAGGACAGATTAAATGCCAGTATTTTGTCAACTGTGCTGGGCAGGTTAGAGCTGATGGGAACTTCTCCCTCTCTGGAAGGGATCCAGTATTCAGTAGCTGCAATAGCAGAGAAGGAGACGGGTCAATGAAAAGAACATGATTCATTTCTTCAGAATGAATGAACACCTATCATGCCCCCCCCAAAAAACCCAGCTTAATAGCATTCTTCAACAGGGTAACAAGCCTTGTGGATAAGGGGGAAGCAGTGGATGTTATATAGCTTGACTTTAATAAGGCTTTTGATGCTGTCTTGCATGACCTCATAAACTAGGGAAATACAACCTAGATGGCGCTCCTATAATGTGGGGTATAAGTGGCTGGAAACCCATTCCCAGAGAATGGTCCGTAGTCGTGCTGGAAGTGAATGGGGTCCCAAAGCGATCAGTTCTGGGTCCAGTTCAATATCTTCATCAGTGATTTATAATAGCATAGAGAAGGGATGGAGAACCTCAGGCCTGGGGGCAAAATACGGCCTCTGGCTTGCGAGGATCTGGCTGCCAAGGCTCAGGCCCCTCCCCTACTGCACAGCTGGGCTGGAGCACACAAAATCTACTAGGCTGGGCCCCTCCTAGTCTCTGGTGTGTGAGGGAATGTGAGGAGCGTCTTTGTCCTTCTCAGTCAGGGGCCATGATAGTGAGGGGTTTGTGTGTGTGTGGTTTTTTGGGGTGTGTTTTTCTGTGGGTCAGCAGCCCCGGACCCAAAAAAGGTTCCCCACCCCTGGCATATAGAGTACACTTAGGTTTGCAAACAATACCAAGCCAGGAGAGATTGCAAGTAGATGTTAGGATTAGAATTCAAAATGATGTGGACAAATTGGAGAAATGGTTTGAGGTACATAGAATGTAACTCAATAAGGACAAATAGAGTACTCCACTTACGAAGGAGCAATCCCATGAAAAATGGGAAATGGTGAAAAGTGATCTAAGGGGTCTTAAAGGACCACAAGCTAAATATGAGTCAACAGTGTATCACTGTTGCAAAAAGGCAAACATGAGAAGTAATTCTTCTACTCTACTAGGTGCTGGTTAGGCCTCAACTGAAGGATTGTGTCCAGTTCTGGGTGCCACATTTCAGGAGAGATGTGGACAAACTGGAGGAAGCCCAGAGAAGAGCAACAAAAACAAAAGTTTAGAAAATGTGACTTATGAGGGAAGGTTGGGAAAAAAAATGGGTTTGTTTACTCTGGAAAAGAGAAGATTGAGAGATGACATGACTGTTTCCAAGTACAGTAGAGTCCCTATCATCCGACCTAAATGGGACCGACACGTGGTCGGATTACCGAATATGTTGGATGATACGGACTCTACTGTAGAGAGCAACGGAACAGCTGATGCTGCTCCTGCCGGGACAAAGCATCCCTGGAACAGCTGATGCCGCTTCTGCCGGGACGCTTCCAGGCAAAAGAGGCAGCAGCTGCTCCAAGAGAGCAAGGGAACAGCTCATGCTGCTCCTGCGTGCTGTTCTGTTGCTCTCTAGGAGAAGCTGCTGCCTCTCCTGCCGGGGCCACTTCATCACCAGATGCTCCTAGAGAGTGACGGGGCAGCAAGCGGGGCCGTTCTCCCGGCCTGTGCTGTATCTGACCCTGCAGCTCCTAGGAACAAAGTCCCCGGGAGATGCAGAGTCGGATAAAGCGGAGTGTCGGATTACCGGGTGTCGGTTAATCCGGAGTCCACTGTACATAAGATTGTTACAAGGAAAGAGGGAGGAAAAATTGTTCTTAACCTTTGAAGCTAGGACAAGAAGCAATGGGCTTAAATTGCAGTAAGAGAGGTTCAGGTTGGACATTAGGAAACACTTCCTGTCAGGGTAGTTAAGCACTGCAATAAGTTGCCTGGGGAGGCTGTGGGATCTCCATGACTGGAGACTTTTAAGAGCAGGTTAGCCCAACTCCTGTCAAGGATGATATAGATGGCCCCTCCCTGTGTGCGGGGGACTGGATGACTTCTCAAGGCCCTTTGCAGACCTGCGATTGGCTACATCCCCAAATACCCTCTCTATGCTATCTCTGTTCTAATTAGTATTACTATGTTTCTGCCACCTTTGTATTTGTTTCAGTAATATTTTTCCTTTCTATCATATAAATGTGTTCTGTGTTCCCTCTGTGCTGTACTTGGATACGTTCTTATAATGCTAAGCTTGGCTTTGGCTTTGGCTTTGGCTTGATCTGATGCAGTACATCAGACATGCTATCCAGTGCCCAGAACTGTAGTTCTATCTAAGAGGAGACTAGCGGATGCTGCTTGCTTGATACTACAGTCTAAGGGGACCCTGCTATGAAGCACCCTGCAGAGTGCCATACACACTTGCCAAGTCTCACTCAAGGGGAAGATCGCATCCTTCTGAGGTGAAGGACTTTGCTGAGTCTCTTAATGAGACAATTGAATCTCTGTGATTTTTCCTGGAAACCTTCATTCTAACTATCCCACCTTGTCAACCCTGACTGTCCATTTGCCAGTTGATGTTTCTCAGCCTGCAGCTGGCCATGTTGGTAACAGAGGACCCCAGAAATCCAGGAGCCCTATAGAAGAATAATTGTCTGTTGTATTTTCTTCAGAAGCCAAACCAAGAGCAACTTCACTGTATGAATCTTGTTTGTTTTATGTCATGGTAGTACTTAGATGCCTCATTCATATACTAGTGCCCCCCCTCCAACATGCTAGCTGCTGTGCAAGCACAACAAAAAGATGTTCCCTGTCCCAAAGAGCTTACAATCATGAACAGGGAGAGAGACAGGGAATAGTTCCTTCTCTGTGTAAGGCAATATTACAGCCTCATGGACACTGATCTGCTCTCTGCTGCTAGAGCCAAACCATTAGATAGACAAAACCTACATGGGCCCCAGCTTCCCCCTGTCACTCCCACCCTAACTAACCCTTTCTGGTTTCAGTGGGCCTATGAGCTGGGTCTCTCCAATGAGGAACCGGTCAGTATCCCACTGCATGCCTGTGAGCACTTTTACCTCCTGACCCGCCCCTTGAAGAAGCCATTGGAGAGCAACACACCAAGTGAGGACTCTCCTACTCTGTTTTGTTTTGCTGATGAACTAGCTCTGTCCTTCCAAAGGCAAGTGACTGGTGAGGCAGAGTTCATGGGGTGCAGGTATTTCCTGTAGTCTTGAACTCTGCCAGAAATGTGCCCTGTGGTCAGGCTCACTTCTTGGAAGTCTTCTCTTCAGAGCTGAGGTGGGGAATAGCTGTCCATTTACTCAAAAAAACCCTCGTCACAAAAGGGAGCTTAGTTGGGTTTGCCAGCTCAGATAGAGTAGATTGTGGCTTGGGAATAATTTTGACTCTTGCTTTGCAGGTGGCTGCATCTCAGATGGGTGCATGCTGTGGGGGAATGGTGCTAGTCTTGCTGCCGTGTTCTGTTTGGGCCTCCAAGGGGGGGGAGGAGGTGAGGGGAAGAGAGTGGGGGGTGTTAAGGTTTTACAATGGCATTTCATTGTTGAGCAATAGCGGGCAACCAGAGCACTTGAGGTTTTGTCTCCCTTGAGGGAGGGGACACACCACGGCTGGGAAGTGGAAAACCTCTCTCCTTTTTGTATTCCCAGCCTCTGAGTGTGGAGCCTGGTCTTTTTGAGAGAAACACATTTGTAATTTGACCTGCACTTCCCAGCTCTCCCATACTGTCTCCTCTTTCTCTGCAGCTATTGTGGACCCTGATGGCAGGATCTATATCCGCAGTTGGCAAGGCGGCATCCTCTCAGGGGGCTTTGAGAAGAACCCCAAGCCTCTCTTTACTGAGGGCCGGAACCAGTTGGAGATTCAGAATCTGCATGAGGACTGGGATCACTTTGGTATGCAAGTGGGACAGGCTTTACAGAGGGCTCAACAGGGAGGCAGTACTCTGGGTTTGCTAGAACTCTTTATCTGTCCTCTTAAGGAGCAGGGGCAATTGGGTACATTAATAAGTGGGTTCAGCTGTCAATTTGTGGGAGAATCCCACTCCCATCAACTTTCTCACCGCTCAGTTTAGAACCGCGTGCCCTCGGCTTTTCCAGACATACCCCTTCCAGGAGTCTGATTTGTCTGTCTTACTCCAAATTTCACCCCATTCAAATGACTTGCTTTACAAAATCAGACAAGAAAATATGAAAGCATTACAGTCACACCCAGGTGAGAGGCACCTAACGTTATCCCTCCCTGGACTCCAGGCTGTGCTCCGCTGCACTCAGAGCAAATGCCCATTCCCTGTAGACTCAGGGCTTAATCTTTTGGCAGGTTCACTGGGTCTTTTACCAGAACAGAGTGCACACACTACCAGACAGTGCTCACCAGTCTCAGACAATGAACTTTTCCTGGTGGAAGGTCAGAATCAGGTCTATCTGCACGATGCCATTGGCAGAGCATTGAGCTCTGGCAGCTCTGATCTTGGGGGCTGTTTTTTGGAGTTGATTCCCCAAAGAGCTTCCTTTTGGACCTCCATTTATATAGTGAAACTTGAGTCTTCCTTAGCTGTACCTTAACCAATCGTTTTACTAACCAGTCCCTCATACTGCGACAAAATTCTATAATCAATCCTATCTCACCACCTTAATTCACACTCTGGCCAAATTTGGTAACAGACAGAAATGGTTAAAGAACCAGACAGCGCTCTCAGACAGTAGAGAAGTGGGGAACTAGAAAGACAAAAAGAGAGCTGTGGATTTCACAACCACAGCTATTGATAAGTAGCCTCTTGCCAAACAGAATGCTGTTAACCATCTTAAGATCTGTTTCTCTATCTGGTATTAGGACAGGATGGGCTTCTTAACAGCCTAATATATCATTGTTTTTGTAATTTAGATGGAATGTGAGGATGTGACCGGTTTCTTATTTCATGGCTGCTGCTCTATTAATATGGCTGCAGACGAAGGCCTTACTCCTCACAATATGGCTACAGGAAAAGTTTATACCCTTACAGGGTCACTAATGACTGTTCAGTTGCCATACCACAATCACTTGGGAGGGGGGACGACAGGAGCATTCTGCTGTTGGCCTTAAAGCACCAACCAGCCTGTGACACTGCTGCTCTCGATATCGTGAAAGAACAATCTGACACTGGCTGCTCTGAAACCCCTCTAGCGAAATTCCTAATCCCATACTCAGATTGGAATCCTCATGTGCTGGGGATGGGCACAAGAGTTTTATTTCTGTTCAGACATTTTTAAAGGAGCATAAACTTGACCATGTTAGTGCCTGCAGCTGCTGAATATTGAGCAAAGGAGGAAAAGAGCTTAAGGTCTGGTTTGTCCTATGGCTGGACTGAACATGGAAGATGCTGCTGTCTGTCCAGATCCTACAGTGTAGAGTTAGTCTGTCTTGGTGTAAATGGGCTGGTTTGGAGATGAAGGGGGCGTGCCTGTTGTCTAACGGCTGTGACTCTCAGGATTAGTGCATTTTGTTTTGTTTTGTTTTGTGACTAGAGCCTCTACTGAGTTCTCTTCTGCGGAGGATGCCAGGGTTGGAGGCTCTGGAGATCATGCAGCTAGTGAACTGCCCAGAATCCTTCACTCCTGACATGCGGTGCGTCATGGGAGAGTCGCCCACGGTACAGGGCTACTTCGTCTTGGCTGGAATGAATTCTGCTGGCACCTCTTTCGGGGGAGGAGCAGGCAAGTAAGTGGCTCACCAGTATGGTGCAAGAGGCACGGTGGGGTCTTGTTTGCCACAAGATGATGCTCTAATTCTGCCTTTGTAAAACTTGAATTCATTTCTGAGCTTAGCTGAGCAGGCAGCCTGAGTTATTAAAGAGCACTGCATTAGTGAGGGTGAAAAGCATATTTTATTTCCTCTGATTCCCTTCTGTGTGGGGCTTTCCAACTCCTCAGCTGGTTATTGGCTTTTCCTTCACTGCCTCTTTAGGCTCTACATGTCACGGACCAACAGCTTCCTGATGAGGCTCCTTGCAGGATGCACCAGTCCTGTTCTTTTCCCAGCTCAACTCACCTTGTCCCCAGTGCACAAGCTGAGTGCATTGTGTCTGTGGTGCTATCACACGGGGGGCAAAAAGTCCTACATCCTAGACCTGCAGGCTGACCTCCTTAGGCCAGACTTGTTCTAATGATTCTACAGTGTTAGTTTTCACTAAAAATACAGGGGATAAAGCACCCTGTACTGTAAATACTAGCATGAGTTAAATGTCGGTGAAAGGTGCTGGATTCACAGACTCTGAAGCTCATTTACTTACTCCCCAAACAAACTTCCCCACTCTTCTCTCTGCCAGCATGCTAGGGGTGTGATGACTCCCTGGTATATAAGACTTGCACACAAATCTGGAGACTGACAGATTTGTATACATCTCATCCAGGAAAAAAAGGCTGCTGTCCCTTACCACAGTCCTCTCTCATCCACTCCCCTATTGCAACTCCATCTTGGCACCCTGTTTTAATTCAGCATCCTCTACCCTGGCACACTGCCTTCCATCACTCAGGATCCTTCTTATCACCCCAGCCCCAGAGTGACCTCTGTTTCCTAGTCTGGTAGCCATTAGTTGCCATTAGAGAATTCACAAAAAAGGGAAAGTCTCCATTTTCTCTGTCCTAATAAGGTCCATAGCAACATCACAGTAAAATCTACAGCCTGTTGGCAGCTTTGGGGACGGAACCAGACTCATCCAGTTATCCCTCCAAGCTGTCTGTCTTGACATTGCATTAACATAGCTTTCTGCTTAGATTTTTCCGATGGCCCATTTCATACCCCCTTTGCTATTGTCTGTGCTAGCCGAATGTGATGAACTCTTTTGTTCTGCGCTCTCTAGCTTTCTGTTGCTCTTATTTGACAGTTGTCCAGTGTACACCCTGCTGGCTTTGCTTAGTTACTTGTGGAAGTGTAGCCCAATGTACCCTACAACTTGGCAGGTGCCTTCTGCTGAGGGGGTGAGCTGGCACTAGATACTGGAAATGGCAAACTCCTTGTCAGCTTAATCCCAGATTAAACCTACTTTGACTCTCCCTGCTTGGTGTAGCCTAAGGATTAGCACAGTGGTCCCCAACCTGTGGAGGTTGCCGGGCACCAGGGGGCATGGCCGTTCGCCCGCCGGGCGCCAGGGGACGGGGG